CCCCCAACCTCTGACCGTGAGTGCTCACCTGACCTAGTCGTGTGCCTTGCTGTAGGTTTGAGCACTTGCATGTATACATTGTACGTACACAAGACTTACTCTCGCTTACTCTCGCTGGCATAGCAATGTGTTGGCTTCTCCCAATAGTGCCCGCATGTGTTGTTATGTGTCGTGTTGTGCTGTGCTGTGCTGTGCTGTGCTAAGTTGTGTTGTGTTGTGTTGCACACTTTCCACGCAATCTAGAAGTAAAAATATTTAATGTAGGTGTTTGTGGGTGGTTGGCGGGTGCTCTGATGTGGTTTACTACTTCCCTATCAAACATCTATCGTCCCTATCTCCCCCTCTTCTTTTTTATGTTTGTTACTCTCTTGTAACGCTCTATTCTTCTGGCGCTCATATGACCTTATGCCGTTGCCAGTGCCGTAAAACCTCAATACAACTAAAACTAAATGTACGTATTTTTACAACCCGAAGACACAATTAAGATAATTTAGGAGGCGGGCTTCCGACACTGCCTGTCAAGGTCAACCCGTGGGGGATTGGGAGGTGCTCTGATGTGGTTTGCTCCTTCTTTCCTATCTAACATCTATCGTCTTTATCTCCCCTCCTTCTTTTTTGTGTTTGTTACTCCCTTGTAACACCTGTAATCTCCGGCACTTATATGACCTTATTGTGTTGCAAGTGCCGTAAAACTTTTACTAAAACAATTAAAGACAACCCTGACTGAGATGGATACAATAATCCAGCAGAAAGACCGAGATACTCGATAAATTTGCCTCACTCTGGACTCTGGAATCGATCTCATGTCTCCTGCGTGCGACAGTGAAGTGCCTGACCGCTGCACCGCAAGTGCTGGTTGTCTAAAGCAGATCGAACATGTGAGGACAACGTATCTATTTCCCCCCTCCTTTTTACCGTGAATTTTTAACATTAAAATCTGATCATAGACCACAATGGAGCCGAGCTAAGAACTGTCGTGAATGCAACCAACTTAATGTGTTTGGAGCTCTCATAATTATGACTATGCGGATGCGAGCGCCGTAAAAGTCTTACTACACTAGAACTAAACATGCATACTCACACCCCAACTCCCCAACCCCTACCCACCCCCACACTCCGCCCTCTACACCCTCCAGCCTCCCCTTACGCCATCCGTAAGCTCCCCCCCTGCCCTACTTTTTCCTGTCATCATAATATTATCATTAGCTAGAAGTCAGAAGGTGGGCGGTTGGCGGGTGCTCTGGTGTGATTTAGCTTCTTCTTTCCAATCAAATATCTAGATCTATCGTATTTATCTCCCCTCCTTTTTGTTTCGTGTTTGTTACTCTCTTGTAACACTTCTAAACTTCGGCACTTATATGACCTTATTTGTTTTGCAAGTGCCTTAAAACTCTTACTAAAACGAAGTCAGAATGTATAGAGAGTCTGGTCTGTTTGGATTTTATTTTTATTTTTTTTTACTGAAAGTTTTCACAAGTTCTGGACATTTTTACTGGTTAACTTTGCACAAACTTTCCAGTTTATTAATGCTCTTCAAATACTTATTATTACTTCATTTTCTTTGAGGTTTTTTTCTGTAGTTTGTATCTGTGTTTGTGTGCTTTTGTGTGTGAACACGTGTGTACGCCTTTTGTGTTCCAATTTGTCTGTGTACCTGTATGTGTGTGTGTGTGTGTGTGTGTGTGTGTGTGTGTGTGTGTGTGTGTGTGT